CAAAAAAAAAAAAAGTGAGGGGCAAGGATTTTTGTGGGTGATATCTTTTATTGGATCAGTTGCATTGCTGGGATGGACTGTAGACAAGGTTTTGAATGCAATGTGTTCTTTTCAGGTCATTTTGTCTAAGTCTATTCCAACCATTCACTTGGTCCAATGAAGGATATTACCCACAAAAATCCTTGCCTCCACAGCAGGGGTTGTCAGCCAGGGGTACACGTACCAGGGGTCCATGTCCAGCTGCCGGGGGTACACTGACCCAAGGTTGAAAACCCCTGCTTTACTATCAGGAGATTACTACAATTAATTCAAACCTGTGTGAAGGCAGCTAGTAATTTAACAGATCTATGTTTCAGAAAAAAACAATGTGATCTATTTGCATATGTAATTGTTGCCTCATATAATACATGATCTGTTTTTTGTTCATTTAGGTAATGCATTCTTCAGCTTTGCTAGCCAAGTTTGCAATACTTCTATCTGAGAAAAGCTCTTCTTTTCCTGAAGCTCATTTCTATTAGAAGCACATTTTTGTTAGAAGAGTGCAAAAAAAAAATGCAGTGTGCACATGACTGTGGAATTAGTATCTGCTCTGCAGAAAAAACCTTCAGAACACTGCTGCCTAGTTTAGTCCTTGCCAAATTCACAACAAGCACAAACAAGTACAGGAGAAAAAACCAAGAAAGCAAATTAAATGTCAAAGCATATTGCAAGAGAGTTTTATCCTTAATTTGAGTTGCTCTTAAACTTAAAGCGAACCATATTCCAGCAGCTTTTCAATATAGATATATAAAACAAACAACCTTCCATCCCAAGTTTAGGGACATGCTTAACAAGCAGAAAACAGATATTAGCACAAAAGAAGAAAAAGAATCAGCGGACTTAAAATTACAAGTCTAAGTACTTATTAATAAAGACTATAACCCACTGACAAACAATTTCCGGCATGTGCTTTCCTGAGAAATATATGAAAACAACAAGCATCAAGCTTGAGTTCATACTAATTATACTCTTCAGAGAAAATGTAGCTTACTCTTTAGCCGCACAATGCTGTAACTGTACACATGCTTTATCCATAATGTGATGCTATAAAGGGAGCTGCCTCCTAGTTAACCTTCAAACGTTGCCCATTTATGAACAAACTTTAAATATACGATCTGTTCATACCCAAAGGACTTTTTATATTTTGACATTTTTCTTTGAATTCAAGGATGATCTTTTTCATGAGCTCGTCAACAGCAGCATTGGATGGTGCACAAACCAGAACACGATTTCGTTTGATCTTGGCATTCATATTTTGAGCTGGATTCTCCTTCTCAGACTTCTGTGGGTTAATTAACAAAGAAATCAAAACATGTTGTTGAGTCTAGCCTTTTCATTTCAAATGACCGACCAGTTGCACTTCTCTTAATCTGGTTGGCTTACTCAGAAAGACACTTCATTTCCAGTGTTGTAGCTAGCATCCAATGAAAACCTCATAGCCTCTTATGCTGTAACAAAGAGCTTTAAGTGAAAGAATTACATTTCCTAATGGCTACAACAACAAGTATCTCATCATTACAGTAATAATTGCATTTACTATGCTAGATTATGGACTTGTTTTTGCTTTTTCTTTTGGGCAAGCAAAACCAAGTACCCAAGGTGATTATAGTTCCATACTGCATACCTCATTTAAGATACGGAACAGCAGTCCAACAATAGTTTTTGATTTTCCTGTACCAGGTGGTCCATGAATCAGGCAAATTCTAGGAAGGCCTGGGTGCTGCTTCACCATCGCATAAGCTGTTTCAATAGCTTTCTTCTGATCTTCATTGTATTCTTTATAGTATGATGTCTACACGGGAAGAAAAAAAGGAACACTGCATTACCAAATGAAATAATTTTCAGGTGTTTCTCCTCATGTCTTCAGGATGGAGAGCCTCAAGGGTACACAAGTTTTTGAGTCTGGGTTTGCTTTCTGTATACAAATGCCTGATCTGGAAGCTGCAAGGAGAAGATTGTTTCCTCTCAAACCTATATTCCAGGTTACTTTTTTTTAAAACCAGTATTTCTCCACAGAAGAGTAGACAACTGAATGCTTCTTTGAGAGAGATACTAATACAATACTGCACTTTAAGTCATAACAATAAAGTCACCTGAACACATGTTCAACCTCTTTTATCTGTACCCCAAACTCAATGCCAACAAGCCAAGACAGAGTTTGAAACTGAAAGATGTTTTTTCAAACCTCACTCAGTTTTCCAATACCACATTCAGTCAGGCCCTAACCTTTTATCTGACTTTTCTAAATTAAAATGCAAGAAGCCTGATAAAATAAAAGGTACAGATTGGCCTACGTTTCACACTGTCACTAGCATTACTATTTAACTTGTAGAGGACTTACAGTTCTCTCGGAAGCTGTGGTCAAATCTCTTGGACAGAAGTCATTATAATTTGGATGTATGATGGCTTTAGCAAGAGGACTCCTACCCAACAGTAGCAGACCTCTGAACTTTCGTTGTGTAGTAACTAGAGAGCTGACCACTTCACATTTCACCTGCTGATTTATGTAGGATGACAAATTGCCTCGTGTTTGGACAAAAAGACGACAAACAACATGCTGCTCATTTTGACCTGTACAAAGAAAGGAGGAAAGAAATTATCGTAACAGTAAAAGGATTAATTCAAAGTACACTGGGCTGTTAGGACCAGATGCTGCTTGATGTAAGAATACCAACAAGCAAGTCAACTGTGATCCTTTACCTCCATTGCTTTACTTTGTTTGGCAAGCAATAACATATTCTACTCTTCTACTATTGATTTTTCAGTTGTAATGGTTACATTTCCTTTCAAACAGCTGACTTCTGAAACTCCATGCTCATCTTCTAGAAGATGCTTAGCATTAACCAGCTGAGTTCATGGGAGTTATGGGCATTCAGCATCTTGTAGGTCTGGTCCCCCAAGTGCACATAGACCTTACTCACCATTAAGTTTTGGCTTTAAAGCAACTTTACCCTAGAAGTTTTGGAGATTTGCTGTAACAAGCTTATAAAAACTACACAGGAGACGTGTGGGTTTGACTCCTGGCCTGTTACAGCTGTTGTAGCTGTAACTGGGAAAAACCATTTAACTTCTGTTTGGAGGAGGAGTGTGTTTAATTCAACACTTTCAGTCAACTAACAACAGAGCTGGATCATTCCAAAAGGAATCCCATTTTTATCACAGTAGCTAAAAACACGCCACTATGAAAAGACGAAAACTTAGGTGTTAAAATATTATAAGGCACACTATTAGAGAGAGGAACTGTTTTCTAGTGATTCCACAGACATTTAGGAATAGTATCTGGAAGAAATTTGCAATGTCTAAATAAACCAATACCACCAATAACAAAAAACAGCCATTCTGAAGTTTGAAACTACAAACCTAGATGGAAGGTCTGATCAAATACCCACAGTGATGCTTGAATAAATGTTACAAACTATTCAGCTCAGAAACCATTTCAATTTTAAAAGGGAACTCAATTTGCTATTCAGTCAACTAGATAACAAGTTTGGAGCAGAAGCTCTTGCTAAAATGGAATGCCAGAAAATAATGCCAAAAAGTTAAACCTGCACCAAGAATGGACTCTGTGAAACATGTTGCTGGAAGAAATAAAATGACTTCACATCTCCTTCTGCAAAATGCAGATGTTCATTTCCCAAAGGACTAATAATGCTGCACCTTCTCTTAACCAAGCTTGCTTACCTCGTTCCGTGAAATGGGTACGGGAGAAGCGGGTCACGTGACCAACATGACGCACAGGACGGCAATCCTTCTCGCTTTCCTCTGCCAAGGGGTTTTGCTTTTCATGCACAACCAGAAAAATCAAATCTTCCTCCTTTGGATGAAGCTGCTTGACGAGATCCCTTTCCCGAATGTAAACTACCAGGAATAATGTAAAAATTCAAGTAACAGCCATCTGCATGTGGACGACCTCGGAATTTTTAATTTATTGTGTGCACTTATGAATTATGCACTTACTAAGTGTTAAAGCACTAAAATTATTTGAGACCAGACTACATAGAAAGCATGATCTGCCCAACCCCAAGGGAATCACAAGCCACAAAAAGGAATCAACGCAAGGAGTATAATTTAATTCTTGATTCCCAATCCTCAGTTTCAAATGCGTGAAACCAAAGCAAGACAAATTATTTCATTCCTTCTTCTTAAGAAACCTGTTAACAAAACAAAATTCTAAGTAGACAAAATCCAACATATTCAATATTCAAAAAACCAACCATTACAGTGAATCATTTTGAAGCATATAAAGATATGTTTTGCCATATATTTTCAGACTTAGGGGAATAGTTTACAATATATATTTAAAAATCAACAATACTCTCTCATAAATTTGGGGTTTTGCATATTCAAAGTTAGCTCATAAAGCAAGAACAAAAGCTTTTGCCATCTGCCACTGGAAAGGTTCATTTTTCCTGGCAATTTCTTTCTAGACATTTATACCCACGCTCACTATATGTGAATAGGTATCAGGCCTGGCTCATTGCTTCAGCATGAATCAAGGCTTGAGGTGTGCATCTCTTCCACCTTTTTCTACTCCTCTAACTTGTAATTCATTAAGGCATAATAACATTGTTCTTTTTCATCTCCCAAAGTAGCAAGGCTTCATAAATATTCTTACCTGTAAATTCAGCTTGATTCAAGTCAGCAGAGAACTTTTTTAAATGCAAATGATAAGCATTCTTCTCTTTAGCCTTCTGATTTTCTTGCCATTCTTGTGCCAGCTATACACAAAATGGAAAAAAAAAGGAGCAGAAACTTAGCTTTTTCGCCTTTGCAAGTCACCTCGAAGGTGCATTGAATTGCTCTGCTGGAGTGAGTGGGAGAGGAGGTGATGCAGGAAACAAAGCAAAAAAAGACCCTCATTTTCTTGATCACTGAAGTGTTCTACAGTATTTTAGATCTTCAAACTTCTTCCTACAGAAATGTACAAACGTTCTAAGATTTTCTTTTAAATCGTAATAGCGTAGCATTCTTAGAAATTGAGTTAAGAGGACATGCAACATATAGTTGTCCCAAACTTCTCTATATTTGATGAATAACAGCCCATTATAAAAGACAAAAAGTTGGGGCGGGGGGAGGGGAAAGGAGGAAATAGTTTAAAGGCGAAACAGGTAAATTACTTACCGTTTCAAAGGCATTTAGCATCATCAAGGGGAAAAATGTGTCAAAATAGTCATTGTATCCTTGGAACTTGACAGGAACAGATGCCATGATTGCCTGAAGGAGGTTATTTGGAGGTCCAAAACTGCCAAAGTTGGCAAATATTTCATAATTCCATTTCAGGACTTCTTTAACAAAAATAGTAGGATCACGCTGCACAGTGACAAGGGTATTTGACCGTGGGAAGTAAGAGACCCGTTTTTCTTGCCCTACACAAGTCTGAGATGCAAGCCAACCCTGGAAATTTGAAACAGCTTTGGTCTGCATGTTCTGGGCCCGGAGAACATTGCTGGAATTCTGGGGCCGAAGAATACTGTTCAAACTTGGAGTCTTGAACACCCGATTCTCTGATGATACAGCTTTTGGATTCATTGGCTTGGATGCTGCAGGTTTTACTGCATTCGATTTGTTTTTTGAAACCAGGGGAAGTCTTGAACTATTTTCAAGATCCTTACTGAGACTGGCATTCCGCGAAGAAGAGTTTGAGTTGAAAATTTTGGTAGTAGGAGGTTTGGCAATCTTTGGTGGCAGAGGCTTGACAAAGAGATGATCTGATGAATCAGTAAGAGAATGCTTACTACAATACTCCCCTGTTTTTTCCACCTTCTCTATACAGTCTTTGTACTTACACATCACAATATTGGAAGGATCATTCTGCAACAGGCTTTCAGCAGCATTTACTTCCATCTCTAGTGGCTCTTTACTAGGAAGTATAATAATGTTTTCCAGTTGGGAACACATTTCCATATCCACAGGATCTGACTGAGTTAAAAATAAGTCATCGTCATCATTTTCATTCAATTTAAACATGTTCTCTTTTAAATTTGCCTCCTGACACTGAGGTGGTAACAAGGAGGTGGCCTTGACAATGCAGTCTTTTTCTGCGGATTCACTTTTGCCCTCTGCAGTTAAAGGGGAAGGAAAATATGGCAAAGCAGGAATTGCTGTATTGTTGCCTTCTGTTTTAGAGGTGGACTCTGCAGAGGCAGGCATTTTAAACATAGGTACAGGCTGCACTTCCTCTCTCTCAGATGAGCAACTTTTCCTCATCTGTATTTTGTCCCGGGTAGAAAGACAACCAACCAGCTCAGCTGTTCTTTGACTGGTTCTTGAAGCAGAAGCCAAGTCAAAAGCTGTAGGTTGCTGTATAGCAGCCGTCGGGTCTGCCCTTTTAACTATTCTTTTGCTTCTACTCCCAGAACTTCCAACCCGATTTCTCTCTCTGCCCTCTTGTTTGGGCCTTGTCTGCCTTAAAAACTGCAGATCTTGGGAAGCCAGCATTTTTTTATTATTTTTGACACGAAGATTCTGGGGATCAATTAATATAGTTTTTTGTTTCTGTGGAACCGTAACTGCTCCAGCAACTCTGCCATAGTTACGCAGTTCGGCCATACTCTCTAAAGACCGCTGAGATAACTCAAAAGCTTTGCGGGGTGCCTTTTTCAAACCAAGTTTTTCTGCAGCTGACGTTGGTTTAGGACACTGGCGAACTTTCTTTGGAGGAACTACGGCAGGGGTTGACCTGCAGGGTTCAGTATTTTTACAACGGGCCTGAGGCAATTTTTTGCTTTGTGTAGTTTTAAGATTCATTTTTCTAGGACTCCTGCAAGCTGCTCTTGCCACTTTGGATTTTGCTAAACTTTTACTTGGACTTGCACTGCCTTTTTTAACAGCCAGCTTCTTAGCTAATGATGTTTTTGATGTAGATGTTCTGAGTTCTGTCAGGCTTGTTTTTTTTATACCATGTTTAGCAACAGGACGCGTGTAAGAACTCTCCACTTGATCTGCTGCATTTCTCTTTATAGCAGGTTCCTGACTAGTTAACTCGGATTTTATTTCAGCTATACTAACTTTCTTCTGATAAAAAACAGAACTTATCTGCTTTTCAGCATCCTTGGCTGCTTGTTCAATGACATCATCGCTGATGTAATCTGTATCATAGCCCCATTCATTTGTCTCATCTTCCAACTGTAAATTATTTGAAGAAGAGCTGCTTGCTGAAGGCATCTGCTCACGGACTTGATTCACGTTTTTGTCATCCATCTGAGAATCTTGCCAAACTGAAAAGACATCATCTTCAGTTTCAAATTCAAAATACTGAGATTCATATTCCTCGTATGGCAATGGGGAGCTATGACTCTTCATCTGTTCTTTCTTACTCACACCATCAGAAACACAGGCAGATGTTAAAGGCTGCTTTTCTGGACATATGCTCTCATCTATTTTTCCAGTTTGTTTCTCAATAACTATTTTTTTTTCATCATCAGAAGATGAATCTGAAATGATAATGACTTGATTGTTGGGACAATCTGTATCAAATGAGGTCTCATTACTTGGGCCATTAGACGATCTAACAGCACCTTTTACTTTCCTCATTATGTCAGGCAGACAATGCTGTGGTAAGATTTCTTGGCTCGAATCAAGAGAAAAGTTGACACTTTTGGTATAGGCAGCTAAAGATAGTTTGTGAAGGTCTCTATCGAGCTGAGAGTCTGTTAAGGTCCTAGATCCAGAAATCCTATTCGCTAAATCACATGCAATCACTTCTGTACTCTCGTTTTTTCTCTCCAAAACCCCTTCTCTTTTAAAATACCTGGAAATTGTTAATGGCCTCTCTTCTGATTCTCTCTTAATCGAGTGTGGACTGATTTGAGGGGTATTACTAGGCCTCCCCCCTTCACCACTAGATATAGGTGGAATACTAACACCCACTGAAATTGCATCCATGTGTAGTTTGCTCACAATTTGTTCTTTGCAGGCATCTTGCCTTGGATGTAAATTGCCAAAATTAGACTGCTCTTGGTCTGAAGACTCTGCATTCAAGTCTTTATTTAACAGACACTTTGACAAAGAACTTGATCTTCCTGCATGGGATATCTTTTTTGGCAAGTTACCTATAATCGCTGTACATGGAATATGGTTATCATCATCACCACCCACTTCATTTTTAGGCAAATTAACCTCTTTTTTAAAGAAACTTGAAAACTCTAGTTGTGCATTATTTTTTTCTTGCTTAGCAGAGAGAGAATTGATCTCAACAATACCATCCAGGCATCTGCCCTCCTGACTTTCAGGGCCTTTTGGAGTATGACAACTAATCGGCATTTCACCTTCACACGCAACATTCACTCCCAGATCTTTGCTACGATCTTCTTTTGCATGCACGCTCTCAGGACGAGACTGTGGTTGGTCTGCTCCTGAATTTGGCGCATCATTTGCTTTGTTTTTCTTCAAATGTGGTGATGACTTCATTAACTGCAATAATTTTGTGGCCAAATCACCTTTCTGTACATTGGTTTTCAAATTGCTGAGTTTATTGTCATCTACCTTAAAACTTGAGCAGGCATTAAGGGAGAGACTGACATCTTTTTCATTTGAGTTGCAAATGACTTCAGAAGTAATACAAGGCTGAGCAGTCAGACACGCTGGCAACCTGGCTCCTGTTTTACAATTGGCTTCCAACACCCCACAGCTTTTTAAATCAGAACAGTGGAGATCTGGGCTGCACACCTGATTAAGTAAGGTACTATTCTTGGCATAGTTCTCTACTTGGGGGTTATTTTCATTTTTCTGGATATCCCTGTATTTGTCTGTTGTTACAAAGCTAGTTTGACCTTCATGCTCCACAGCTGACCCACTGAGTTCTTTTTTAACATTTGTCAAAAAGCAGTCGGTAGTTGCATAGGAATTGTAGGCAGATGGTATTTTATATTCCTCTTCCCAAGCATCTCCTCTTCTCGGGGAAGGACTCTGGGGACATACTTCATCTCTCCTACATGCTGAAGAAAATGATGGGCTGAAGTCATCCTTGGGATGTGTCTTCATTTTACATCTGTCATCAGATTTCCCTTTCTCTTGCTTCATAGGAACAGCAGATGAAGTTGTACAGATTAAGCTGTTCTCCAAAAGGAATGAAGAACTTGTGGATTTGTCCTTTATACTTTTTATTACCTGCTTTAAACAGGTTTGTAATTCTTGGGTTTCCCGGCTGCTCAGGTGCCAACCCAGAGAGATGTTTCCACGGAGAAGCAGATTTAGTTTGTCTAGGTATTGCTTGCAAAGAGTTTGCTGTCCTATTTGGTATCCTTCTCGAAGAAGGCTGCGTATCAACTGAACACATGCATACTGCACTGAGTTAAAAGACTGAGAGGATATTGCTGGTGTTTTTTCACCATGCCGCATAAATGCTACATTTGGGAGTTTAGAACATTTCACCATTGCTTCCACCCACTCTTGTGAGCTAATCCACAACAAATGCAGACACTTCTTATTTCTATGTAGCTCAATAATCGACACTAAAATCAGGATGAAAAATTCAGAGACTTTGTCACACTGCTGAACTCTTTCATTGAGAACGGCTTTGATTTCTGAGCAGAGATGGTGAATGACCTCTACAATGTAGGCTACTCCCAAGTCCTTGAGATCCATAAGTGATTGAACAAAAGGGATGAACCACAAAAATGTACTATTATGGACTCGCATATCTTGGCCAATATCAGACTGAAGCACATTGGCCAATGTCTGCATATCTTCATACATATTGGGGCAATAATCTGGACAAATGGCAGTCTTCCATCCAGCATCCTGGGAAGGAAAAAAAATTGAAAGCCTTAGCATGAAGCACTGCATCATTTGTCTTGCTTTGCTATATCTTAATTTTTTTTTTTTAAACCAAAAGGTAACTTTCTTCCACAAAGGTTTGCAAATAATTTGCAGGCACAATGACTTGGCACAATATTTCTGTTCAACCTTAAAATCAATTACTAATAATATGTCCATGGCATATAGGATACCACAATGAAGTTCTAATCCTAAAGTGTAACCTACAAAAATGCTTCCCTAAGTCCCAAAGCACTAATCACTATGCTGATATGATCCTGCAGCTCCCACATGGTCAAATGAACTACATTTAAATGGATTAGAGACTTTCTACTATACATATGAGAGAACATTCATGACCTAAAAAGAAACTAATTCATTGAGATGCACGTTGCTTCTATCAGAAACAGTAAAGAATGTATACGTTACCTATTGATCCATACAATCATAAGACAAAACACTTATAGTTGATGGCATCCTTTAATATGCCCCAGGTATGGAGTATTGAAATATTAAAACAATATATTTTTACATCTACAAAGCATTTGTAAAGGGTTAAAATATTTTCAAGTACAAACACTTGCCTCCTAGTCCCCTTGCCAATTTTTCCATATTATTAAACAAAGGCCTAATTGGATTAAAACATGCCTCTCCTGCAACAGCCAGCTGAAAGATAGAGGAAATGACTGACTATCCAAGATAAACAGTGAAAATCACTACAAAAAACTGATGTTAAAAGCATAAAATTCCAAACAAAGTCTGTTTCAGTTAGTTTCCTTAGACCACATTTGTAAAATAAATGTAACTTAAATTAAATGACTAATTCACAAAATATCCAAGAAAAGAAAGATGTGCCTTTTATACCTTTTTGGGCTTTTCCGTGTTGTAATTATAGACAATTTGGCTACAAGTAACCATATCCTCCCCGTACTCTGACTCCGGTTCAGTTTTGGGTCTAAAAAGAAATACAAGTTTTCTCAAACCATGTACAAATTACTCACGACTCGCGTAACATGAGACTGGACAGGATAAAAAAATCTGCTTCCTCAAACATAATGTTTTACTACTACGTGATAGAAATGATAAAGTGTTTTGGGGAAAATATTTCAAAAAGGATAATGTTTCTTTAGCCTATGCATAAAAGAAAGGTGCCTACTTGTAGAGAACCCTTATTATTTAGTTGCAGACTTGACTGACAAGCACCAAGAAGAAACACAATACCCAATAACTTTGATTTAGGCACAAAAACATCATTAGCCCAACTAATATACGAGCACAAAATCCATTATACAGCACAATAATTATTTGCATATAACAGTTTTTAAATAACACCTCAGGGTACCACAGCACCCTGGCTGAGAATCCCTGGTCTAATGTATAGCTACACAAATGTCCCTCAAGCCACACTTGTGTGTGTCAAACAGTCAATCTGTTAACACTAAACCTTCCAAGGAAAGCAACGGATACCCAATATCTTGAAATATTTCCCTTCAGAAATTTAAGACACAACGTTATCTTTCCAAGTATATTTCTGGTGATTATATTTTATCGTCATTTTGAATGGTAACACACTCAGAAAAAAAAATAAAACTCTTTTTTTAGATACTCTGTAAGACGCATGTGAGAACCATCCAAAAGATTTAACATGAGGTCCACCAGTTAATTAGCAGTCATCTAAAATTACGATAAAAGCTGGAGTTATAACATCCTATTTACAATGCTGTCAACTCTCAAAATTTTATCACGTTTCATTTAGCTCCTTGCCATTTTCCCCCCAACAAGTTTTAGAGCATTAGTGACAAGATGAAGAGATCAGATCGCCACTTCAATGTTATCTGAGTACTGTAATGGGTTATAAGTCCGTACTTTTAAAAACTTGAACTGACCTCCTAGAGCTATTGCGTATATTTTGTATTTCGTTGTTGTAGCTCACATTGTTGATTATAGTTTGAAAAGCCTGGACTGGATCAATCAGTTGACCCCACACTTTAGAACCAAGTTGATCCAAAATCACCATGAAACAGTGCAGCGCTGGCCAGAAGGGATCAGCATTATCATCTGAAATGTAACAATTTAAGATCAAGAAAAGCGGAGATGCAACCATCTTGGATATTTCTAAAGTCTGCAAAAGACGAAGTGAATTTATTTCTGTTTCTCAGCTTTTGTTAAACGTTACAACAAAAGTAAATTACAAAAATAGTCTAAAAATATTTCAGTCTAAAAATGCCTTTTCTGGTTAAACAAGATGAGGGAAGACTTAAAAATGCTTTCTTTGAAAACACAAACGCTTCTATTTTCTGAGACCTGCCCTAGATTCCCTCCTACAAGGGGAAATTATTTGGGGAAAAGGGTGTGTAAGTTATGTGAATGACAACTTTTAATACTTCCCATCTCCATAAAGGCATATCATGCCTAATTTTTTCTTCATAGTAAGTTTTTTTGTTTTTTTTTTTTATTGCTAATATATTTGGGATTGGGTATATGATATATTATTAGGATTACCTACTGGGTCCTTATATACTCAAGGAATGAGAGCTGGATCTGAAAAAGAGCTGTCTTTATTTTGCCTTTTCCTACCCAGGAAAAAAGCGGCTGCACCTGAAGACAACCTTCCTTTTCCTGCAGTTCTCTTCTGGCAGCCACTTTGCTTCTCTGTTGTAACTGCCTTCCCTACCTACTGGTTACTGTCAGTACTATGAAGATGCTGCTTCCTACCCTTGGTCTAGAAGAAGTGAATACGTACCATTTAACTCCAAACCTTGCTTCATGTACAGTAATTGGGTTGGAGTTTAACATTTACAAAGATAAAGAGATCTGGTAAAATTGCATGTTGTTTTAAGCACTACCATGCAGAACACAGGAACCAGCCTAATAGACTTGTTAACTTATTTGTTCAATGCACATTTTCAGACCTGTGCACTTGAAAAATCATCACGAAAACTAACTAGGATGATTCAGATTCAAAGATCTCTAGAGTACATTAAGGGGTGGGGAGGCGTGGAATCAGAGTTGGTGCATTAGGGGATGACCTCACACTCAGAGGAGCCAGCACAGATTCTTGTTCTCGACAATCTATTCTAGATTAAAGAAGCTGTCAAGGTTAGAACAACTGACACGCATTTTTAACAAACTCCAGAACAATGTGAAGCCAAAGTGGAAACTTACTCAATTTTAGACCTCAAGAGCCAAATCACATAACAGATGAAAAAAAAGGTATAGCTCTTTCCCAAGTGAAAATGATCCAGTAAGAACCACACGTCTGCCCTCACCCACACTTAACATAGGCCTCCTCATATTCCCAAAGGGCACCTTTTCTCCAATCTTCAAAGGTCCTCTGAGATTCGCTCTTTTATATTTGCCTCAAAATATATGCAAATATTGTTTTTATGTCACGGGAGGAACAACATATCAGTCTTAGAAGCTCTCTCTTTGGCATTACACTACTGAAAATTTGTTCAACTAGTAAATTCTTTAGAGAATGATATCACACCCAGAAGATGACTATCATTCTCTATTTTTAATCTTTATTTATCATTGCCTCAGCAGTTACCATCTGTTTGTTTCTCCATGGTGTGAAGTATAGACTGCATGAAATCATTCTGCTTGTCGGGGCCCAGCAACAAAGAATCCATCGCTTGTTCTTCCAGCACTGTTAGTAACATACAGATACCTGCAATGAAAGCAATCTGTCTTTATATTTTGGGTCAAAATTGTTTGTTTTAAGTTTGGTCAAACTAAGTATTGCTTTCCAAAACCCACTACAAGGAAACTGCTGGGTGATCAAAATCAAAAGAATTGGAAAGTAATGGTTTTAAACAGACTACTCTGGAGTATCCAGTATAAACAAATTTCAACTTTATCCATCTGCCATCCAAATGCATCATATTTACTTCAAGAACTCTGACTCCACTCCCATTGAAGGACTCCAAGCAAAGTCAACTCCAGGTATGTCTACATGTGACACTACGTCACCGTAGCAACGTGCTATGGCAGAGGCGGGCAGTTATTTTGAGTGGAGGGCCGCTTACTGAGTTTTGGCAAGCCATCGAGGGCCACATGACAGGCAGCCAGGGCCAGATAAATATTAATTTTCTAAATTGTTTAGGGGCCCCACGGGCTGGATAGAATGGCCTGGTGGGCCACATCTGGCCTGTGGGCCGCATTTTGCCTGCCCCTGTGCTATGGTGACGTAGCATCTTCAAGCATCTACACATGACCAGCAGCTATGTCACTGTAGTGATGTGCTCCCCTGGTATAGCACACCATGACAGTGAAGTACCTGCTAAAAATAGCCATGTGTCGTGCATATGGCGCAGTATGGGCTGCTACTGTGCCATGACTTAGTACTTCCTTTCTAAAGAACTAAATCACAGCACAGTAACAATGTTGTCATAGTGACACTTGTAGATGCACCCCATGACTTCGACAACCTACTTTTCCAAATCATAATCATGGTGAAAATGTGCGAATTACTTGAATTAACTCCTACCAACTGTTTAATGTCTAGATATTATCTAAAATCTCTGGGTTCAATGACTAAAGGTTCAAATCCTGCAAGAACTGGCTATAGACATAATTCAACTGCCTAGTGCTCAAAAACAATACCAGAAAACCAGTGGAGAAAGACCATCGCTTTCTGCAAAAGTACATAAACAAATTTGGTCAGGTTCAGAAAGCCTGTCTGAAATCTTAGAGGAGATTTAGGGGCAGAAACTTTCTACTAAGGAGCCTTTAAAAAGAAGAAAACTTCCATCCTGGGAGAAAGGATCAGACTCTCAACAGTGGCAACAGTTGGGTAATACATTCTGCATCACCCAACTCCAGTGTCTGGGATAAGGGAGTCCCCCAGATCAAATAGGAGAAACTTAAACTGGTCAAGAAAGAAGGAGGGTTTTTTTCTCATTTCCTCTGATCCTATGAGTAAATAAATTAAACAAACTTCTCCCCTACTTGTTTTTACCAGGTAGTCACAAATCTCAGAGGATTCCCTTTCAACTGTCGCACCTAGTTAGACTTGTAAGAAGTAGTATCTTGGAAGACAAGGGATACGTGAACCTGGAGGCCCAGTAAAAAGTAGGGTGAAACAGGGGATTCTTCTCAGAGAAATGAACATGTAGGCCTGTCACTTGGGAAAAAAAAAAGGAGGTCATCTAGTACAGCTCCCTACTCAAAGCAGGACCATCCCCAACTAGATCCTCCCAAAGCTTTGCCTAAACTTCCCTTGCTGCAAGTTGAGACTGTGGCTCCTTGTTCTGTTACCTGCCACCACCAAGAACAGCCCAGCTCCATCCTCTTCTGAAACCCCCTTCAGGTAGTTGAAGGCTATTAAATCCCCCCTCCCTCTTCTCTTCTCTAGACTAAATAAGCCCAGTTCCCTCAGCCTGTCATCATAAGTCATGTGCCCCAGCCCCCCCACGGCATAGCTCTTTTCTGAGCAGAACTCACCTAACCAGTAGTTCTTGTAGTTGGCAGAATCATACAAATGGGATGGAAGAAGAATGAGCTTTCCTTTCTCTATCACTGAAGAACAATAAATATCAGGACTATCAAAAAGCCCCAGCTCAATGACTTTAAACAAACAAGTCAACACTTCTTGCAAATCATAGTAATCATCCCTGTCAACCTTCCCCAAATTTCTTGCCATCAGGATGGCCCACCGACGAATCTACAAATTAAAAAACAAACAAACAACATATTACTAGAAGGAACAAATAGTTATGTCATAGCTGCAGGGTTGACAATCATTTCTGATCTCAGGTTGTAAAATATACTTTGTATTGATGGCAAGTTCTTAAAAAATGAGTATCAAAGCTATTGTCCCAATCTTGCTGTGCTCAAGTAAGTACACAATCCATTGACTTCCTTGGGGATGAGGTAAGAGAGGACATTTTGCTTCCCAACTTGGAAGAGACATAATCATTAGGCCTGTGCAAAAGCTGCAAGTACTCACTTTGGATTTGGCCAATTCAGAAAGACAGCGACTCGATTCGGAAATCCAAATCACTGTCCCAAATCGATTCAGCCGAATCAGATCCGAAGACTTGGCGCCGCTTCAGAGATTCACCCATAAACTAAACAGGCAGCAGTCTTCACCATGCTGGACACAGCTGCCTCCAGCTGGTAAGTCTGTTGTGGCGGGCAGAGAGGGGAGGGAAGGATTGGGGCTAGGGCTGGAACAAGCAGCTCAGCTGGCATAGGGGGTGCAAGACTCAGAGGGGTGCAGAATGCAGGTGCGGCAATGCTTGAAGCAGGGGCTATGCCCTGCTGCCATTTGCCCAGCCACAGCAGGGGCAGGTGCAATGCAAGCATGGCTCGCTCCAGGCGGAAGGGGCAAGCAGCAGCAGGGCAGTCTCCACTCCCAAAGCTGCTGCACCCGCATCCCGCACCCCCGTCCCCCAGCTGGGCAAGCAGTGGCAGGGCAGAGCCCCCACTCTCAGTGCTGAAGTGTGCGTGGGAGTGCTGAGAGCAGGGGCTATGACCTGCTATCACTTGCCCATCTTCCGCCCAAAGCGAGCCGCACCTTCATCATGGTCCCCCCAGCTGGGCAAGTGGCAGCAAGGCATAGCCCCTGCTCCGAGCACTGTCACACCCGCATCCCAAGCTGTGCTCCCCCCAGGCTGGGCAGCTTGTCCCAGCCCCAAACCTCCCTCCCCCACACCACAACAGACTTACGAGCTGGAGGCAGCTGTGTCCAGTGTGGTGAGGACTGCTGCCCTGTTTAGTCTATGGCCGAATCTCTGAAGCAGCGCCAAATCTTTTCCGAATTCATTTGGAGGCTTCCGATTCAATTTGGACCTTTTAATTGGTCTCCCAATTTGATTTTGGAAATTCGGTCGCTGAACTGGGCCGAATCAAATCAGCTACTGAAGCTTCGCACAGCCCTAATTATCATCAGTTGTTCATGGCACCAGACCCCATTTGTACTAGGTCGCAAAACCTGCATGTTCCGGGGGCTCTAGATCACCAACACTGCGCAAGTCTTTACTCCTGCTATTAATCTACCAGAAAGATCCAGGCAGATCTAGCCCTTCAGTTGCACTGTAGGCTTCACACAAGCAGTTCCATGCAATAGTTTCAATTACCTTATAGTATCCATATGATGTTAAAGAAGCGAGCAAATTCTGAAGCAATTAAAATCTTAGGTCTTCTTCTGACAATGCGATGCTATTTGACCTACAAACACTGAAATTTTGGTAATGCTTTCCATTGTTCAAATCACTCAATATTTTGAACCCCAATACATCTGTGGCCACAAAAGTTAACACTTTTTCATATTTTCTTAAGGGACTGGGTTCAAAAATCAGAAAGGCCTCTGCTTTCTACTGCTGTGTAATTTGAACACTGTGAGAATATTACTGAATTGTGACTATTATCTCAATTTTTTCTCATGGCAAACTGAAGCATCGAAGTCAGTTTGGGTAGCTTTAATATGATTTTTCATCAAGTGATTTTTCAATGTTCTGTTGTTGTTATTAGTCCTTTGAAGATGACCATGACATCACTTTTTGGTTTGGTTTCTGTGAACACATGAATGGCTGATCAGGCCAATTTGTGCTTTGAACCGTTCCTGGCACACTGAGCAAGAGATGCTGCTTTGGGTTGCTTGATCAACAGTGGACATGCTGCTGTTGTGAGATCTGCACTGTTTGTGCTTCTGCTCTACGTCAGCAGTTCTTCTCTGCTCAGCTAAATGGTAGCTTGAGTATGGAGGAGGCTTCCCCTGGTGGAACAATTATGAGCAAGATCTTCCCAGGACTTCAGGTCAATGCTGAAATGTTTAAGGGATGACTTGAGGGAGTCCTTGAAGCATTTCCTCTGACCTCCTTGAGAGTGCTTTCCCTTCTTTAGCTCACCATAAAAGATCTTTGGCAGTTGCTCATTTGACATCATGGCGACATGACCTGCCCATCTCAACTGTGAATTCATCAGAGTGCGGATGCTTGGCATGCCTGCCTGAGTAAGAACCTCAGTGTCTGGGACCTTGTCTTACCATCTTATCCTCATTAGTTTCATCAGACAGCCCATGTGAAAGGGGTTCAGCTTCGTGGCATGGCATCTGCACCCCTCCCATATTTTGCATGCATAAGCAGGACTGGCAACACAATGGCTTTGCAGACCTTCAGTTTTGTTTGTTGATTAATGCTTCTGCGCTCCCACACTTCTGCACATAATCAGCTGAAAGCCACACTTGCCTTAGCAATTCTTGCACTGGTTTCATCATTGATATGAACTGCACATGATGGTGTACTACCAAGATAGGTGAATTTGTCTATTGTCTGGAGGGTTTGGCCATTTATTGTGATGGTAGGCTCTATGCAAGACTTTCCTGGTGTATCACTTCTGTCTTAGTGTTGCTTGCAAGACCAAAGTTGTCACAAGCTGAAGAGAAATGGTCCATACTCCACTGCATATCAGAGTCAGATTTGGCATTCAGGGAACAGTCAAACAGAAGATCATGGTCACTTCCTGTAACTTTGTCTTCACCTGTAGTCTCCTCAAATTGAAGAGTTTGCCATCAGTCCGGTAACTGATATCAATCCCAGTGTCAGTCACAAAAGGCATCTGTAAGCATGGCAGAGAACATCATACTGAAGAGAGTTCGGGCCAACACGCAGCCCTGCTTAACTCCATTGGTGACTGGGAATGGCTCATAACACTCAAGATGGTTCAAGTGACTTTTTTAATGTTCTAACATAATACTAATATGCAACATTTTCTTTTCCTTTTTTTTTTTTTTTTTTTTTTTGAGAACATCTACTTTTAGTCATGGACAGCATGCCTGGGAACATAAACCTAATGATCCACTTGTTCTACAACCCCACTCCTAATGCTTCCATGGGTTATTTATACAAGAAGTGTTTGAACTTCAGAATAGCAGACTCACTGCTCTTGCCAAAAAGTAAAGTAGACCAGAACAGCATCGAAACCAACAAAAGAGGTGCCCCAATAAAAGCTCAAATGCATTAATAATCTTGTTTTTAAGAATAATAACTCACCACTTCATTGGGGTGTACCAAGAGTAGATAAATCCCTGGATGTTTCTCAAAGACCTGAAAGGAGCTGTTAGCTTGCTCCATTTTACAGAGAGCCTCAACACACAGCTCACCTAAACAAGCAAAGACATGGGTAGGTTAAAGGTAGTACTGGGTAGTATTACACTGAAGTACAAAAAAAAAAACAAAAAAAACACAAGCAGAATTATATTAGCACTTAGGAAAAATTACCATTATGTTAATACAGTGACTAACAACTATTTTCACTTCCTGCATTAATGGCAATATTGGGTTCTTGCAAGGGTGCACCTTGGGATACTCACCGATGCGCTTATGTAGTAGCAAATATGGATATTTCAGTATTTCTAGAAGAGGTACTCGCAGGTTGTTCTCAAAATCTGGGCCAGTATAACCAGACAGCTGTGTTTCCCCATTCTCGTCTACTATAAACAATTCATCGTCCTCTTCAATTTCTTCCTTCATGGACTTCTCCATGTGGGCAATAAGACGGGAGGTTTCCATCTCCCACAGTGTCTGTTCAGGGGAAAATAATCAGACACCTGTGTGTACTGAGATGGAGGATGTTTGACATCACACATGGAGACCGAGAACAGATTTTAAGAACCATTAATTTTGTTCTGAGAAGCTACTTTTCAGGCAGCATGAAAATAACTAGAGATGGACAAGCAACTCAGCACAGATCATGTATAACATTTTCAATTTGGCATTAAGATTAATCATTAATCAAACTAACTTCAATAGTGCTGAAAACACTGCCGTTGCATAAACATTTGTGAATAATGTTAAAAATTACATAATTTTCAGCAGGTGATCGATAATAATGTTTTTTCATACAAGTGTAGAAGGAACTGGTTTATACACATACTGTGAATATTATAGAGCATGGAACACTAGTTTTAAGGTCCAAATTTGTGGTGATTTAACGTTTTGTGATCAAAACCAAGTCAGTGGGAGAGAGAAAAGCAACATGTGCCAAATGTTGTTTCTACTTGGAAAACACATCAAATTATTAAAATATAGAAATGGAACTTAATTTCAAATTTTCTAACAGGTAACAAGTACTATTTTTTACTGTAAGGTAAATTCTATTTTTAAAAACATTGAGATAACTGAAATTAGGCATAATCCACGAAGCTTTAGGTTTAGCTAGCAAATAATATACATAGGATTACAAAAGATTCAAAACTCAAATTGGATTATGAATCTATTTTGGTGTCATAAGAGCAACATCACAAGACTGCATAATCAAGCCTCTTAAACTTAAGTGAAGCAGAAAAGGGTAGAAGAAAGATGGAAGGCTAAAAACAAAAATAGGCTGAATGATGGAGAAAGAGGACCAGAGAGGAAGTTTGAGTTTGTTTGGTTTCTTTTCAGCTTTGAGGTCATGGAGAGATGAATAGAGCCAGTTTCATTCTTCATGTTTGCATTCACCACATTTCCACTGTTTTTTTCACTTGTGTATCTGAATTGATAAAATAGGCACCACTCTGGGCAACCTCTCTCTTTATACGAAAATAGAATTAATGGCCAGAGAAAAAACTCCTTCACAAAAATTCACTTCTGTCACTCAGGCCTAACCACTTTGAGATTCTCGGCACTTCAAAAATAACTCAATACAGGGCGTTATTTAGTAAAGAAAGGGCAATAGGAGTCACATTTCTTAATTACCTCATGCAAGGAAGGCACTTCATCCCTTGCCTTGTGGTATTCAACCACACACTCCAGGCAGTAACAAAGATCATCGCTGGCTGCTGCAAGATCTTCAGGGGGCAACCGTTTGGAAGCATAGTTGCTCAGGAAGTCAGTGGTGCAGGAAGCACCGGGCGTACACCAACGACATATGCTCATTCTACAGATACATGTGCAGAAAAGCAAAAAAAGGAGTTAGTAACTTTAAGTCTACAAGTAACAACATCCAATTTCAGTGAGGTGTCTCACCTGCTAAGGGAAGCTACAGATTCCTGTAATCCTCTGTTGTAACTGACATGAGTTAAACGCATTATAACCAAGATTGTCAAATACAAGGGCCTGAGTTTACGCATCTAAATCCATATGCAAACCCCTAAAATAAGCATGGTCTCATGCTTCAAGCTTTTGAACACTTGCAACTCCCACTGACATATGCAAGAGAATGAAAAGCTTAAATATTAAAAGGGAAATTACCTACTAAGAAAATGATCTAAGTATTATAATTCTTGCCTATAGTTAACAAGGGCATGAAAATTCACATTGCATGAAACAAAAAATCTCCCAAACTGTGAGCCATAACAGACTTATGAACTCCTAATGTATACACAATGCAAGTATACGTAATATCAGAATAGCTTACAAAAACTGATTTTCTCTCACCTCCCTAATGTTTTCAAAGGTAACAAAGCCCCACTGTTTAAAAATGAAAAGGATTTCAAAGGTATAAAGAGAAAATAATTTGTGTCGACTAATGACCATCAAGATTAAATAAGCAAATATCATAAGCCACCATCACAAATAGCTACCACCACTCTCAGTTTCCCATCTAACAGCAAAACAATGTAAACCAAATGCTACCATTTTGAAAAAACTAACGATAGGGGAAGATGATTTAGAATAGTTATGTATACAACTTGCAGGTTCATCTCTATTTGTGTAATTGCATTTGTTCAACATAAAAGACGGTATTAGTATCAGCTTTTATTAGTGTTAAACAGACATGCTATACCAATTTTGAAGCTTCTGGTATCTTAATCATTCTGTCTGCTTACCAGTTAAGACAGTAATCTAATTTATTAGCATCACTTTCCAAAAGGTACCTGCTTATTGAGAAAGGGCATGTGTTTCTAGGGGTGGGGGAAACTTACAGCTGTTTAAGCAATGAAGAACTGATGCTTCAAGAGAGTTCATCATTTGACTGAAAACATCCCTGATCTGAAGCAGTATTATACCACTTCACAAATCTGTAGAAGTGTAAACATATAAATGGAGTAGAAGGTAAATAATTTAGGTCTTGAGAAAATACTAAGTATGTTACTGCCTATAACTGGTCTTAGTTATGATAAATCTCTAATAATTAAAACTTACGAGCCTGTTGTAAAACCAAGTGAGGAACAATTTGATGCCATACCATGATCGCTGGCACACAGAAAGAAGCTGCTGGTGAACAGGCACTAAATGGTCTAAATAGTAGTGGCTGTGAAACAGATTCCAGCAAATCCTAGAAAAATCAACAAGGATGCTATGAAAGTTTATTAATAAACTAATATATGGCAGAGTTTTTAACCAACTGACATCAAAGTACCTATTCCATTACTTGAATAAAACCAAGATTCTCCCAAATTGGCAATCTTTGTCAGCATTCCTACATATTTTTTACAAAGTGACAATGTTTCTAAAAAATTCAGAGGCCAGATGCTGACATAATCTACCTCACCAGCTATTCCAATATATCATTTGGTTAACACCTATTATTAAACATACATCTATAGACTATTGCTGAGTCAGCATACAACCCTTCCATCACAATATACACAAGCTATATTTATCAATGAGCAGACCTTTCTTATCAGTTTTACTTCACTTTGAAAGAGACCAGTTCTGCTATAATGTTGCTTGCCTATCTATTGCAGTGCAATATAGAAGTTAAATTGTCAATTGAAGGCTCTTACAGTTTCCAGGAACCCCCAAGGTCCTTGCACAGGTTTATAAGCTATGGGTGATGGGCCATTATTTGTCCATAAAGAACTTGTCTGGGGTGTGAAGAAATATAGCATCTGGACACAGGGGAGATGTACATCACATTCACGTAAATTTAAAACTACAAAATCTTTCCCAATATTTTTATTACAACTAATTACAATAGATGCTACACAGACCTTACTGTATATATAAATGCAAAGAAAAGGTAGGATACAAGAATTCCTCTAAAATCTGTGTATCACAGCTAAAAAGTATGGGGATATCTGTATTACTTTTTCTAAATTAAGGTGCAGGTGTGCCACCCTTGTCTACATCTGGAAACACCTCACCTGTCAAGTAGTCTACTGACATTCACAACAGTATTTCAAAGTGGCTGGATAGGCTGAGTACCAGCCTTGCACAATTTGGCTTCATCCCTGGTTTGCTGCATGCAGTACTATTAAGCTTAAAGAAACAGCACAGTGAGTATATATAGAGAGCCTTCAGTCACTGTCAGCCAGCTGATCAGATTGACTGACAGAGAGGAAGCACACGGGCTCCATGTCCAAAGCATGATAGGAGTTATACATGTAATGACTTCATAATACTCTGAATAACTATAGAAACCAATTAGATTCTAATGACTACATAAAAACAATCACAAGTTACCAGAGAGATAACCATGCAGCTGTACCCTAGTTCATTATTTTGGTATACATACCAATTAGTTATCCTCTCACTGTTAAGCCTCCCTATCTTCCTGAAAAAAAATATCGCTTATGATATTCCACATGATCTGCAAGGGCCTTGAAACTCCCTGTTCGTTATATTTTTGGCAGTCCAACTAAGGCTGGTACTACCTTATCTTCAATATTTATCTCCTTCTAGGAAGGGCAAGATGAAAGAAGGGTTTTGCTAAAACCTTAGCAGGACAGTCAGGGGCATGGGGCCTCTAGTCCAGTGGTTCTCAACCTTTTTTGTACCAAGACCCATTTGTCAACATTGATGGCCAGTCCCAACCCAGTACCTCTCACTCCCAATTTGCTGCCCCTGCCCCTCCCAGGCACCAGGCCCCCAGTGTGTGGGGCAGGGGGTGAGTGTGGGGGACATGGTGGGGTGTGTGTGGAGACTGGGAGGCCCCAGGCAGCCCCTTGCAGGCTGGAACTCTGCCAGGCCACAACAGAAAAGCCATGGTTTCCCACATTTTTCTCCTTTAAAGGGGAATCCATTTTTAAAGTTTGTTGATCCAGTTTTAAAGTCTGTTCGTAACCTACTGTAATCTATCCAAATTATTGAGTGAACACAGATGAGAGACTGCAGCAGATGGTACTATTTGGAAGCATGGTCTGCTGCTAAAATTGTCCCACCTTCTCCTGTGTGCTAGGCTGCTCCCATCTTTGTGGACATTTCTGGGTAATCAACAGCTGTGTATCTACCGCCAAGATAAAGTGAGCAGACCAAGGACCCCAAATAATGGCCCCCACAGGGAAGTATTCTTGCCCTGACTCCCAATATTTATATAAGCAATATGCCCACTACCTCTTCAAGCAAATGTGTATATGCCAATGACACTAACTACACAGGCAAAGACCTTCAAAGAGACTGAAGACACACTAACATTAAACCTCTCAATAATGGCAGGATATTTCTGCAAGTGGAGGCTATAACCAAATACAACTAAGTCCCTCATCTCAGCATTTCACCTCAGCAACCACAAAGCACAAGCTCATCTCAATGTCGCATTTTGCAGAGAAAAGTTACATGACACTCAACCATGCCTTAACCTTTGATAATCATCTTTGAAAAATAGCTGTGAGGATACAGTCCAATAAACATAGTGCAAAAACTTGTCGGAATGGGCTGCAGGAGTACTTTGCACCCATGCAATGGCACCAGTCTTTTCAATGGCCAATTCGTGTGAACCTGTTTAGGCTGCTAGCTCTCTTACCAAATGTGTGGATGTCCAATTAAAGTTTGCAATGCTTGCTGTCACCAGAACCCTGAAATCTATACCAATTCAATGATTACCCATGCTGGCCAATACTGCTCCTCCAGACACTTGCTGCAACAAAGGTACATACAAAGAGGTTGCCCATGTGAATGACAACCCAGACCTCCCCATCCATAGAGATTTAAAGAACCTCCCAGCTCACCACTTGGTCTCCTGGAAATCTCTGCGGACAGGTGTACAAGCCTTTGTAGGACACGACAGTGCAGAAACTTGGAGGAAAGCATGGAATGAAACCACCACTTAGAATAAACATCTAATTTCCAACCCAACAATAAAGCCTCCTGGTTTTGACCTGCGAAAAACATGGAAGACTCTAAATCGGACGTCAACCGAGTATGGCTGCTGCAGTCACCTGATGCACAGATGGTGTACTATGAGTGCTGCAGACTGTGACTGCGACAATCCTGATCAAACCATGGACATAACAGTCTGCCCTCTATACAAATTTGACAGAGACACTGCAGAGAAACACACCCTTTCCTCAAGAGCTTTAGACTGGTTATCTAACCTTAAACTGGACTTGTAATTGTTGCTCCAAGGCAGCCATATGAAAGAAGAATGAGAGACTATGGTCCTATAAATATATATGTTAGGAGTCTAATTATCTTAAATAAATTTAGAAGATCATATGATGCTTTTCACTTGATAATGGTCATAACAGTAACCAAATTATGCCTGAAACTAATTCAAGGCCAATCTACGCTATAAGGCAAAAACTGGAAATCCCTTTACAGCTTGTTTTGACTTTGCAACTTTAACAAGACTTGGTATCTCCATTAACTGAATGCATACCGAGGCAAAATCACTGACATTTTAACCACAAAGATAAACAGCCCAGAGGTGTGACCAGGCAAGAAAAACAGCGCTCCTCGATGCTGTCTTTTGTTGAAGCTTCCTGTTTTGACTAGAGGTAACAGTGAAGCCCAGCATGGCCAACACGGCCATCAGGAAAACACAAGGTCTGAGGTAGAACAAGAGCCTTTAGGAGAATCACCCAGATACAAGAGGAAACAAGGAGAGTTTCATGTCTCAAAAACTAGTTTGAAAAACAATGGGCAACTGGGGTTAAACAACAAGCCTCAGCCCTAAGTACAGTCAGAGCAGAACAGCAGCAGAGACGAACACAAGCCAACTACAGGTACTCCTCACTTAACATTGCCCTGGTTAACATTGTTTCATTATTACATCACTGATTTATTAGACAGCACACTCATTTCAAGTCGCGCAACGTTCGGTTATAACGTTGTTTGGCCACCGCTTGCTAGTAGGCAACTACTGTGATGTCACTGGATTCGCTTAACATCGTTTTGCTTAAAGTCGCATTTTTCAAGAACATAACTACAGCATTAAGCGAGGAGCATCTGTACCTCTCTCTACTCATAGGGAGGGGTGAAATCCTTAGTCTTGTTCACTGCATGTCCGAGTCTCACAGGCACATCACAGAATGTGGCACTTGTCATCTAGCGTCCCAGATACTCCCGGAAGTACTAGGTGGGTCAAACAAGCCAGGAACTATGCTCCAAAATAAACTCACAGGAAAAAGTATGAAGGCCAGAGATGCGTGAACACTGGTTGAAGCCTATTAGTGCCAGGACAAGCAGACGCTCTGGGACCGCACAACCCTAGGAACAGACAAAACATCTCCAGAGGACAACACAGGGCAGAGAAATTCAAAACTACTGGTCGGTATAAAACCTGGTCTACAGGCAGACAGTGGCTTTAGGGCTCGTGACATCCCTACATTTAGTGCCAACTTCAGGTAAAAACTGCCCCCTTCTTGAACAATCTTGCCCCACCTTTAACTAGCCAGCCTAGTCTACTGCTCTCCTGCCTCTCAAAACCTCCCGTTTACTCCTCTCCCTGGCCCACAGCCTTCCTCCATCCCCCCAGGTGCACAGCAGGGCTCTTCCCTTTGAGGCTCAGCCTGCCACCAGGCCTCTCATCTTCCCTCTGGCACTCAGCCTGCCTCAGCTTTCCCCTCAGGCCCAGGACTGCTGGGTACCCCCACAAGCCTCCAGCAAGCGAGATACGAAAGGAGCCCTGCCTCCGCACATGTCCCCAGGCAGAGAGTGGCTGGTCCTGAACTGCCCTGCGTGCACAGTCTTGGCACACTTGCCCCAGCCTGGGCTTTCCTCATGAACTGCAGAGAAATGAACTGTAAGGAAATTAAATTGCAAGAAATTTTGCAGGAAAACTAAATTGCAAGACAATTAAATTGCAAGAAATTTTGCAGGAAAATTAAATTGAAAACTTGTGAGAAATTTAAATTACAAGACAAGGTGAAGGGGAAGCGTGCAGTGGCGCGAGTGGGTAATTCGCTTGCAATTCGCTCTAATTAAAGCACGGTATCCTGCCAGGAGCACGTCGCTGGAGGTGAAGGAGCCGGTGCGGGCGGGGCCCGCGGAGCTGCCCCGCGCGGGATTCAAACCGCGGCAGCGCCGGCCCGAGACGACCCCCATCCATCCCATCCCCACGGGAGGCGGAGCGGGGCCGGGCTGCGTGTCCGCCCCACCCCCAGGAGTGCGGCCGGGTGGTGGGGCGAGCTCACCTCCTCCCGCCGTGGCGCTACCCCGCCGCTATGGCCCGGCCGCCACCGCCACCGCAATTCCCCTCACGCCACCCGCGCTGCCCTCGCCCCGCCCCTGCGCCCTCACTTCCGGCCCCGCAGGCGGAAGCGAGTTTGTTGTCCTCTCGGACCCCCGCCCCCTGCAGGAAGGTGTCACGTGGCGCTGACGTTACGCGGAGCGGAGGTTGAAGCAGAGCGAGCGCAACCTCTTCTTAAAGGGCCAGCCGCACGCTGGGGATCGGGGCTGGACTATAACTGCATTAGGTTTATGTTTCACGAGTGTTTCCGCCTCCCCCTAGAAAAGAGGAGTCTGTAGGCAACCCCTCCTTCGGGGACATGGGGGCTTGTCCCCATTGTACGGATGGGGAAATTGAGGCACAGCCAAGGAGGCAACTGGCTCAGGCTCACGCCAATAGCAGCAGGATGGTCAGGGTCTAGGCTGCTGGGAGGCCCCCAAAATGCCCAGATTGAAAGGTTGGGCCTCAAAAGAATTAGATTTTCCTGAGAAAAATATAATTTTTTTCCCCTGCCTGCCACAGGTGATCATCAGGCTTCCCTCCCTGCCTGCCTGTGACCACTCGGGGGCCTCAGCACCTCTGCCCAGGCCTTGGCAATGAACCTCGCCAGGCCCAGGGTACCTCTGCAGGCAGCAGGGGTGCAGTGGGTGTTCGCTGGTAGACCCATAGTAAACGCCTGCTGTTCAACCACCTTCTTGCAGCTGTCTCTGCTGTCCCCAGAGGACGTCCCTATCAACACCGCAGGCACAGAAAAGCAAGGCAGCTTGCTCCAGGGTGGAGCTCTGAACCAGAGGTGGCAGAAAAGGTGTTTCTGCCCCCTGGACACAGGCCGCCAGCAGCATTAGGAGGGCTTCATTACATTTAACAGCTTTCCCTGTTACTATTAGCCTCTTTCCGTAGCTCTCATTTGTACACTTAGACCCCACTAGGAAAGACCAAAAGGAGAACAACCCCAGCCTACATCCTCATCTCTCCTGTGGAAAGACCTGTGGCTTCTGCAAACAGATTTGTAGCTCAAGGATTGGACTTTTCAGTCATCCCAAGACCCATCAACGAGCCATGGCAGAGATCATCCCCGAATGCAGGGATTGGCATTGACAGTGCTAACACTTCTCCAACCTGAAAGGGTCTCAACAGGCTGCAAACACCTCACTTGTAACCTCTCTGTCTCAGCCTTTGCCATTTCTGCACGTGCCAGGCTTTTCTTTGTAACACCATTCAGATCTTCCCTGTTCCAGGGGAACATATTCAACTACCCATTTATTAGAAATGCCTGAGTTTTACAGGACACAATTATGCCTTTTTACTGCTGATTGAGCCATTGTGGTCTCATGCATAAATACAGCAAGCTAGACAGGTCTTTGCTATTATTGACTCTCTCATAATTCAGGTTTTACTGCTGTTTCAGTATTGGCCTGTCCTTTTTTTCTTCATTTTTTCCTTTCTACCACCCATTTCTTTTAAGGCCCATTTATAGGGAGATGGGAAGTAGTTAATAATTCCATATTTCTCTGTGTCCCCTAGTCAGACATACAAACTCCATCCAATCCTGCTGCTGAAAGAGACTAGAAGTAATACAAGTACCAGAATAGCTAACAGGATCATCTGGGTCAGCTACCGGAGAGGGGTGTTGTATTGTAGGATGCTTTCCAACCCCTTTCCTACCACTGCCAGGCAGGCAAGCAGCCTGTCTCTCTCAGCCCCTGTTAAAGGGCGTAACTGGCAGAGCTGCCCTAAACAGCTCTCTATACTGAAGACTCTGGATAGACTCTAGTTGATTAGTTCTTGTCTTAGTTGAGCTTCATGTCTATTCAAATACTGTGTTACAAGTTTGTTCTCTGTTCTGCTTTACACTGGAACAGAGAACAAACAATTTAAGTGATATTTATTTTACTTAAACCTGAGTTTGTTTCAGAAGATGACTGTTTTAAATTTACATGTATGCCTTCATTAAGAGCCATAGGTGAGAACCACAGAGGTTAATTTAAAAGGAAGCTAGGAGGGCTCCTAAGGAAATTAGCTAACGCTCAGTGGTTCTGGTCCAGTGGTTCACTGAAAGAAATATTACACTATATACGTAAGTGTAAGTAATAAAAGCTAAAAATCAGGAAAATACCGGTTAAACTACAAGCATGCTAAATTAAAGATCAACCAGCACAACTGTCAAATTAAGGTCAGATTACAATCAATAACCAAAAACAAACTAACAGTGAATTACGTTCTTATGGAACCTAAAACAGACGATCTAAATGAGACTACTAATTTAATGATAAATCCCAGTGAGGATATTGTCTATAACGGTACAACTATCTTAGCTAGTTGACCGTGTGACTATTTAGCCAAATTATCCTGTTATCTTTCAATTACTTTTTTCAGTTAAATCTAAGATCATCTTTAGATTTCACAGTTATGTATGCTCACCGAATGGCTTCCTTACCTCCCAGTTTTAACACGGTGATATGCAGGCATTATCACTGACAGCTTCTAGGTGCTTTCATAAAAAAACATATGAGCAGACTGATGCAATGATTTAAACAAGACCAAATTTTACGGTTGGTTCAATCTGGCAATCAAGCTTTAATTTTCTCTACAAGCACTCACACACACTCTGTACAGTTACACCTTAAAATAATAAAGCACAGCTGTCTTCCTGTTAATCAACACAAAAATAAAAGATATGCAAAATACTTCAGATGCAAAGTTGAACTCATCATCTTGTAGTTCTCAAACTCAAGTGGGATTAGACATGTAACTATGATCCAGAGACCTGGACGTGATGGAGCCAGCATAAGTACCTCATGCTCATACTCTTTATTAGCTTCCCAGGCTCTTCCTGGCAAGTAGGGAAGTCAGTCCTGTTCCACATCTCAGTGATTACAAAGAAGCACACAACTCTGCATCTCTGGAACAACTCAACTTTGGCTGGTGGGTAGTTTGGAAAGTTTCCATTTAAGCAACATTTTCCTTCAAATGCCTATTGCTATAATCATAGTGGCACAACCCTCAAGATGCATCAGAGGAAGGGTGGGAAAGAACAATAAGTGCAGGGGAATTTTATCCCGGCCTATGCCTCTGAAATCAGTTGCCCGATTACATGACTGTTGGCATAAAAATAATTATTCAGTACCCTTCATTTACCTGCAGTCTCACACTTTTAACAGTTCTGGAAATGTTTACTGTCTGACCAGTTCCTTGCCCAAGAAATATTAAGGAACCGACTAACTGGACAAAAAATCATGACCTTTTATTTGCAACTGTTCTTGGTTTATGCTCCATCTCAAAGGAGAAAGTTTTCTTTGTAACTCCAATACAAATTCCATTTAAAATAGAGACAATTAAAAGTTTATATTAAGTCTGGGTTTAGATTTTTTTCTTTTTCTATATTGCCTACAAGAAGCAATCAGTTACAGAAAATATTTTAATTATACAAGATAAACAGTTATGTATCCTTAAACCCAATAAACCACCAGAGGATCCACAGAGCTGCCAGCTCACCTCACTACTTCATGTTACATACAAATTCATGGGGTGCCTAATCCTTAATAGAATCACTGACCCCCCCTGGCCCCCAAAAGAACAAACAGGGTTTTGAGAAAAGCAGTGTACTGCTGACCAAATGACATTACTTACATCTGACAAGGAAGATGGATTTGAAATGAGGCAGAAAACGGGCGCAATCTTTATCAACCTCAGTCACTTACGACACCGTATGACCTCAAATATAAACGGTACTCCATGATACCTGACCACGAGCTACATGCTTCCATCATGAACATGATCTCTAGCAGATCATTCAAACTCATTAACAGCCAAGGAGAAAAAAGCAGAGTACAGATTTGAAGAATGGAATCCTCCAGGGGTTAGTGCTCAGACTTCCCGCATACATCACTTAAATGACGCATGCTGATGAAGTAGCCATAGCAGCCCAAGGAACACACATGACAGAACTGGAAAAGACACTGAGCACTGACATGTTGCTGGGTTTTTGCTTGTAGCCGTGTTGGTCTAAGGACATAGGCAGGCAAAGCTCTTTGGGTAGATGTGATATCTTTTCTTAAACCAACTGAGTAGCTGGGAAAAATGTTCTTTGCAAGCTTTTGGGTGCAATCGCCCTTCTTTAGGCATAGGACGTCTCTGCTGTTCTGAGACTCCAAGGAATGAAAGAAACTAAAAGTGTAATAGGATGTCAGCGAGAATGTAAATGAGCAGAAATTAGGAAAACAAAAAGGTAGAGCAGGGAAGGGAGGGGAGGAAAAGTCAAAAGTCAGTAAGGGAGACTCTATACCACCACCAAACAAGTCCCACATGGGGCACCACCTTGACAGAGAAGCATGGGTCAAGCTGAACAGAGTAAGATGTGGATACAGATGCTTCAAAACAACACTTCTCATGATGAACATCTTGGACAGCTGATGTGTAAATACGGTGCTCAACAAACAGCACAGCATTTAATCCAAAGCTGCAACCTTTACAAATGCATAGACAGGGTAGATGGAATTCATATGGTGGGCAATATCAAATAGTGGTTCATGGATCTGGAACTTGATATCTGATGCCATATGAAAAAGGAAGAAAAATCTTCTGAATTACACAGGCTCAATGCTTATATAACTACATGGTTTGCCTATTACATTCTCCTTCCCCACTCGGTTAACCCTAGGATTTCTAACTAGTACTTCTTAGGTCACATGTGCGGTTGGATTGGTCCCCACACATCCATTTGTTCTGCAAAATGCTTAGCACTACTCTAGATGGTTTATAAATAAAGTGGAAAATCCTTTTTTAATTTCTGAACGTGCAAATATGTTAGTAAGTGGATCAAGCAGGTTGAAGATTACATCCAACTGAAGAATGGAGTCCAAAATTACCATACCTTATACATGACCTCCTCAGTCTCGCTTACGCCATTCAGTTCAAACGCATCAGTCAAAGGTTGATTACCATAGGATCATGAATAGCTAGCCTCATCATATCTGGCATCATTATCCCCTGGCATTTGAAGAGCTGGACTTCAAAAAATCATGACCAACTAAAAACAAATCAGTCGTACATTTTTGTTCATTTTATTTGCCTTCTGTGTTTGTACCTATAAGGTTCACATTTTCAACCTAGATTTTTTTTTTTTTTTTTTAAGTGCAAGATGACTATCCCTTAACAA